TAGCAGCAGCCGAGCCGGGGGGCTCGGGGTGCGGAGACACCAGCCCGGTGTGATCAGAGGAAGTCCCAGCAGCAGCAGCAACCGCAGCAGCAGCAGCAGCAGGAGGAGAGAGACCTGGAGGCAGGGGTGCCCTGTCCTCGCCGGCAGCCCAGTCGTATCCCCTCTGCGAGAGTTTATAGTGGATGTACTTCAGCACTATCTCCCGGTTATCGTAGCCTCTTCTCCCCGGATGAGCCATAATTCCCAAGAGGAAGCAGCAAGAGGGAGGGAGAGAGGAAGAAGAGGAGCAGGATGAACCCAAAAAAGTAAAGCAGCCAACGATAATAAAATTAATAACACCAAAAATTATAATCCAGTTACTGTATCGGGCATGGTTTCATTCATGGTGCTGTGGGGGAGTTCTCAGGGTCTTGGAGGTACTTTTGTCTTCTCAGTGTTTCCTCCTTGGTTTGAGATGCACAGTATAAATAGGGATTAAAATGCTGTAAATACTTTACTTCCAGGTGCACAATTATTACTTATTACCAATTTACTTTAGGACCAATTCCTCCTCGGTGTTGGAACACATCTTAAAAAACAGTATACCGATTCAAAATGAGGTGCATTCTTCCCTAGGTGCTGAACTACCACGGACACGAAGGAGCGGACGAACAGACACGGCAAAAACGGCAATTCAACACAACTTGCTAAATAGCCTTGGATGAACGTTAATCCAACGCACTTTAAGCTAGAAACCTCACCACTGCTCTTTTTTTTTTCTTAAGTTACACAAACTAAATTTCCTCTGTAAAGTACTTACTTGGACTATAAATATGTTCCTCTGTCAAGTTTCCTCTACAAAAAAAAATAGCAACAACAAAACCCAAACATCGCAAGTCTTCAGAAACGTTAAGTTCTGGCCGCTTTGATGCTTCAAGTCACCAAGGGGATTGGAAAGGGACAAAAAAAAAAATCTCTACGATTTGAAATGTTTTTTCCCAGACTCCTGTTTAACAGACATCTCCAAAGATGTGTCAGAGCTCAGAAAATCCCGCCTCGCAGCCCGGGAAGACGAACAACCCAAAAGAGACGGAAAATCCTGGAGACCAGATGAACGACATTTGAATCCAAGCTCTCGCAGAAGTGCTCCGTTTTTCCCTCCAGTGCAACGTACAGACATAGGCATTTACGTAGTTTCATTCAGACACCGATCGCAGGAGCCTGGTGCTTCCACACACACGCACGCACACATTAAAAAAAAAAAATTAAAAAAAATTTGCATGTATTTAGGAAATTAATTCTTTTTCACAAAAAGGAGCGTAAAAAAAAAATCATGAAAAAAATAAAAAGAGAGAAGGCAAATTGCTTTTGACTGTGGCTCCGGGGAGAAATGCCATTTCCCGAGCAGCTTTGTATCGCAGGAGGAGGAAGAGCCCCCGGCGCTGCCGCGGAGGGGCGCGGACGG